CCTGTCTCTCTGTCTCTGTTTATCTGTCTCTGCTTGCTTCATGGATTTTCGCAAGAAATCTCGTATTCAGATAACAATATCTTGCCAGTGAAGAACTGTAGCTGCCGACTTTTGGGCTAAAATCGTTATTCGTGGGCATAGCGACCAGAAACTTTGCATGCATGTTATTGGGGCAAAAAACAATTTGTGTAAAAAAATAAACAAACAAAAAAAAGTTTTCTCTACATATCATGTCTTTCCTTTTAATGGTTGCCATCTTAAATATTACAGTAAACAAAATGCAACTCCTCCAAACTTTATACATGGAATGCGTTCGCTTTTCAGAATTGAGTAGACAAGAGGGTTTGTTACTATTGTACAGGAGTCGTTTTGATATTTTATTTGATTTTTAAAGATATTTTGTGTCAGAGTTGGCCACTTTAAGAAATGACATGCTTTCGCCGAAATATACTGGAATATCGATCATGAAAAAAAAATTAGTATGTATATTTAGAAACCTTCCTATACAATAAAGCAATGGCCCTAGACTGTCTATAATAATATCTGAAAAATAATAAAAATCCATACGTAAACTTCGTAGAAATAGGGAAAAAGTGATGAAAAGAGTGACAATTTGAACGTTTGTTATACAATCCAAAAAATCCCACAACTAAACATGATAGATACCATCTAATACTATGACCCCCCAAAAAAGGGATGGATTTCCTGTGGTGATGCATGAGCCAAAACCATTTAAATCGATCCATAATTATATGTGTAATTGCAAAAGTAGTGTACATCTGTCAGGAAAATCCGAAAGTACCGAGACCGACCGGGACTCCCTCCGACCCCCTCAATCCTACCCACCTTCAGGATGGACTGTTTCCTTCTATAAATTCACTGTCGGGTACATCTTTGTCGTCACTGCGTCATCTATTCATTGTTCCACTTCTGTGTTTGGATCGGAGAAGCCTGCCATTGCGTGACCTCTTGTCATAAACACTGCTCTACCGGTCTGGTCAGATACAGATGGTTTTGGCCATTTCCTTCTGTAATGATCCCTGTCCTCTGATAACGCTGGATCATATAAGGAGATCCAAAAAGGGGGAACCGGTCGTTTTCTTGAGTTTCATAACAAGAAAACGGGGAGGGGGTGAGGGAGGCTGAAGGGTCAGAGTATTGTGCGTTCGTCTACAGTTTCTAGACGTAGGTCTTTGCAGCTTGGGGGATAGTTCTTACAACTACGAAGATGTGGCGTCAATAAGAGAGAGTTTGGTTTGCTATATTGTTATAGATTCTGGGATGGTCAGTTGGTGCTGAGTAAAACCGCGATGGCCGACAGACATGACAGAACATAGGACTAATGGAAATAAGAGTGATACACTGTCTCCCCCCCTCCCCTCATACACGCTCACACACACA